CACAAGCCATCCTATTGCTACTCCTACACTACAGGGTAAGGTACTTCTTTCTTTCACTTCAAACTATTGCCATGATGAGAAAATGTCATCCTACACTTTAAATAGAAAATACCAAAGTAATGGTTACCTCAGTAAAGCTCTCAGTAGATAATTATATTTAAGCCAATTTTTAATCATAAAGAAAGTAACTTTTTATTTGGGAACAAAACTGCATACAGTCTTTAGTAAATGTTTTTACATCTCTAGTGTCAAAGCTGAGAAATGTCAACCACTGATAGAAAGGCTTAAGCATGTGAGAGTCCCCTCTGTACCAGTGTAAAAGACAGGAAGGAAAAAACAATCTCTTTCAGAAACAAAATTTGTAGGCTCTGACTGCTAACAGGATGCTTGAACTAATTCAAGACTCACTAGGAAGACAACTTCTTTAGTGTTCCCTAAACTATTTAATTTAGTTTTTAAAAAATTATAAAGAGTTTTTTTGTACAAAATGGAAATAAAATGATTTGACTCTGAAGCTTTCCTATCTGTATAAACATAAATTGATCAGTTTGTTATATAGGTAATGGAAATTATGAGGAAGTAAGCTATTTTCAATCAATTTGAGCTTAAGCACCAGAATTCCTGTACAGATGTGAGCTGAAAGGATCAAACAATTTCAACAGAAGTACAGTAGCAAACAACTTACTAAAACATAAAAATAAAGATGCGGAAGGGACAACTTCAGCATACCTGTTTTCAAGCTAGCATAGTTTTAAAACTCAGTTCTTAGGAGCATTTCTAATTTAAGCAACAGTATCAGCACTTAGATTAGACTTCAGCTTCTTCAAGAAAATTAATTTCCATATGGATTTTTTCAGTTTTAAAGTTAATGGGCTACTAGTTCAGCAAGAACAACAGATTTTAATCACCTGATGATCTGGTCTACCAACTCTTAATGCCTATGGGATTCCAGATCAGGGGGTCCTAATGCAAATGTCTATATGAAGCAACAGTGCTCAGGAGCTATGTTTTAAGCATATATTGTTTTGGAAACCAAAAAGTTTGTAGATTTTCTCCACTTTTTTCCTCTTTATCATCTCTTCCTTCCCTGACTTCCATCTTTATTCTAAGTAGCTGATGCAACTGCATATGTGATAAAATATTCAAAAGTACAGAATTATAATCCATTTTAATAGGTTTAGCTCATCCCTTGATTTTTCCCTTGAAGTTGCCTCCTTCCATGCAAGGAGCATGGTTTGCTAGTGTTATCAACAGGGGCCAGTCCTGTATTCTCTGACAGGCAGTTGTTACCTATGTTCAAATCTTTAAATTAAATTAATCAACCCATACTGAAAACATTAATCCACTGAGAGATGTGGACAAACTGACAACCTGCTATCTCCTATGAAAGTTTTAATCATATTTTCCTCCCTATGAAGACACAGGAATTATTGTCACACGATAACCATTTCATTTACCATGACTATGAACAAAAATCAGATCTTGAAAGACTAATTTTCACATCTAATTAGAAACAATTTAAAAGGACTTGTTATCAAAGAAAGCAGTTTAAAAGTGTGTTTTGTATGGCAGTTCTATTTTTGCCTGACAGAAGAAGGGTAGGAATCCCATCACTAAGAGGGAAGAGGTGAAATGGTATGGTTGAAATAAACACTTGTGGAAAAAAATCTCCTTTAAATCAACAGTTCAAGAGTCCTGTTTAAAATTAAGAAACTATAAGGACATTAATTACAAAATGTTGTATTGCTCAATTTAAAACCTTAAAGAAAGCCTAATTTTGAAGAAGCCTCTTCATAGTTCTCTCTCTTGATGCATAACTTCCACGACAGTGCTGTCAAACGTAAGTATTACTTTGAATGTTAAATTAGTAGTTATATGATTCATTTAACCACTACATGTGGTAAATTGGAAAAGTAATGCTTTTCCAAACTTGAGACCTTCTGTATCAACAAGACACTTGTTGCCATAATATTTGTCATTTGTAGCTGGAGCAGCTTGATTAGGGTCTTCTAAGGCTGCCTGTTCTAAAAGTGTGTCCTCCAGTGATACAGCAGGAACTCAGAAAATTCACCTTTTCTTTGCTTGCTCTACTTTTAAATTAATATACATTTTAAGATCTAACAGCTAAAATATTTCTAGAAAGCAGCAACTTACAGCACAAAACTCCTAAACATAATATCAGAAGTAGTAGCTTACCTTATTTTCTTCCAAAAATTTCAATTTGATAGATACATCATTACGCATTTTGTCATATTTCTCCTTATGCACTTGAAACAGTTGTTGTGATTGTTCAATCTTTGGCAGAGTGTTTGCATCACGAGGGCCAAGATTCAGCTCTTCCAGGTCTGTTCGATAAGCATCATATTCAATCCTGAGAAGAAAGAGGAGGAGGGGAAAAAAAGAAATCTAAAGGCAGTGTCTCAAAACTGACCTCACATACAGGGCCAAGTACAACAGAAGATGAACAAAACAGTTAAGGGCAGAAAAAATAAAAAACCCAGGCAAGTTTTTTTCTTCCTCCTCCTATTCATCAAGGAAATCCACCCTGAAGTATACTGTATAAGACAGCCTCAACAAGCACCCTCCCTCTTCTGCTCCTGTCTCAGCCACATGTTCTCAGCCCTATTATGTATGGGCTTCAGCAGTAAGAGCCTTTCCTGGGACATCTCAACCAACTAACCCAGATAAAGACAGCAAATATTTTTTAGGTCATTCTTCTGCTGTTGAATCAGTTCAGTGGAGAGTTTGTGTTGAGTGTAAAAGACACACCAAGAGCACAACATCCCCTTTAAGCAGATGTTTGAGGAACAGCTCACTTATAGCAAACTCTGACCTAAAGGATTTTCAGCATGCTCCAGGCTTCTCTATATGTATTAACTGGAACAGTTTTATAGTTCTTCCACAAATAGTTCTGTGACGATTTGTCTGTCCTATGGAAAAACAGGCTGCAAAAAGATGATGCGGCCCTGCCCAAAGCTTCACTCTTCCTTCCATAGTTCTTTGTAGCTTTCACATAATGGGACCCAGCATATCAGCCAATTTTAATGGGACAAACCGCCCTATTTTTGGCTTTTTAAATATGCTTTCTTGGAAACAAATCAGGATTAAAAACTGGTTATAAAACAATTTTTCAGTTGGTGTAACTGCTCCAAAATAAAATACAACATTTGCAGAGGCAAAAGGAGTCATATTCACAGGGCTTTTCCTGATTCTCACTGCCAGTCTGATTCAGGTTTTATTTAAAGAGTTTATGGCTGAATTCCAAAAAAGGAAACAAACCAATAGAGAGGGAGAGAAGAGGGGAGCAGATGAATGCTAAAGTGCAACTGGGGACAGGACAGAAGAGGTACAGAAATAAATGTGACCCGTTTTCACACTGCAAAATGAATCAGGTAAGTGAAGAATCTTTGTAATTTATTTGCCTTATTAAAATGACAAAATACTTGATTAATGAACAGAAAGTAGTGAAGGTTTTTCAGGAGTTAAGAACTATATATTGAAAATGACTGACCAAAACAATTGTAGCAGATGTATTTTGTATACATTTTCAAGGGGATACCTGGAAAATGTGTGAAATAATTTTTTTTTTAAATATGTTGGTGTAAAAATAAAGCAATATCTTATATACACATAATAATTCTGCCTTTCATGTCTTTTGAAAGTTTATCTAATTATCAAAACAATAACTTAAAATTCTGCTTATAAATAAGCATTAGAACAGAACAAATAGAAAAGGGGGAAAAGAACTTCAAGAATCAAACGATTTGCAAGTTCTGACCTAAAAAAAAGAAAAATCACAAAAAATTATATGCATAAACTCCATCCTTTGTCGAATTAAAAGAAACACACTTTATCCTATTAAGTGAAAGAAAATCAGAATGGAACCACTCATCAGAAAGGACCACAAGTCCCTGGCAGGAAAAAGGAAGTTGGCTTTAGAGTATTATGCCATATCCAAAAGTAACCTTCTCCAGGGCAGGAAATCTACTGCTAGATGTTATTCACTAAGAAATTTCTGTTTCATTTTCCCCTTCCTGACCAAGCCTGCAACTTCTGCATAAAAAGTGAAGTGTTAATTGTATGCATTGTGCATCAACAGAAGCACAAGACTAAATGTTCTTCAGTCAAAGAGATTATTTTACCTATTGCAATGTAGCTGGATAAAAGGGTTAATCTTGCACTGTCACGCTACTTAAAAAGCCACCTTAATCTAGCACGTGGGAAAAAATAGCTATAATTACTCCTACAGCTAATGAGTAAAATTAAGTTTACAACAGGACATTCACAAAACACTTGAAGATACGTGCAATCAGTTACAGTTAACCATAAACCCTAATTATATGAGAGTTGCATTATAAGGCTTTTATCTGACAGGTTAGTTACTCCAATACAAGGACTAAGCTGATAAAAAACCTTCTTTCTGAAGATTAATTGGTATTAAAAAGAGCTAGACACAGGAGATAGCTACCTGGCACTTTCATACTGTTTCACAGTCAATAACGTATCCTCAATTGTTTTATTCACCAATGTATTCACACTGGCAATAAAAAAGTTAATAGCCCCGAGAAGTGTTTCTCCATTTTTAGCTAGAAGTTTCTGCGTATCTGCATTGTAGCCAAACTCCTCCTATAAACAAAGAGCAGAGAAAACAAAGCTGTAGATCAATTGAAATCATAACATTCATCAGCATCTATATAAAAAAATGCAAACACAGATGTGGCAGTTATTTCACTTCTGTTTGGATATGATTATGATTAAACCAATATGATTACAATACAACATTCAGTTCACAGTTTTTACGAAATTGCTCTAACATCAGTAAAACATGGTTTACAATTTTGTTACTATGTGTGATGTTAAATCCTATTCTATAATGTGACTTGTCTGCACTCTAAAGTCTTAAATGTTACTTAAAAGTAAGTGTTAATGCAATCTTCACATTGTCATTCAGCAGGGTTTTAATTTGGGATCTCATGTGGTTGTCTAGGTAATGCTTTAATACGAACAGAGACACCCCTACATTAAATACAGTAATGTAAGTAACTTCACAAGAGCACACAGCATTAATTAGCTATTAAGTTTTATTCTTACATTCTGGAAAAGAGCACTGCAAAAAACCTCAACATCTATCACAGTTTAATAGGCTGTAAATAATTGAAGAGCAGCGCATTATAATGAATAGCAAATAAAAATTTTAATGTAGCTCAGCCATAAATTTCAAAGGGACAAGGGCAAAATTATTTCCAAGGCATTTATATCACATCTAGATACATGTTTGTTCATGTCTCTTTGTTAACAGCAGTGTAAGCTGACCAAGGCTGCAAAGATTTTCCTAATGCATGGATGCCAAATGAATCCAATTATTATATTTATGTCATCCATATGGCATCTTCATATTCTACAGATGGGAGTTCTCACAAAAGAGTACAATCTCTGGTTGTAGTGACTGTAAAACATACTAGGTTCATATTTGGAACTTGGGTCTTTTTAGACTTCCACAGTGCCAACAACTGACTCAGAAGTGCTGTATTCTCCCAGTTTCCTTTCATCTGTCCAGAAAATGAACACCAAAGCCAAACGATATTTCATGTTAACAAGTTCATAACAGTATGGGTAATGGGCAACGGTAAGGGAAGAATCCTCTAGAAAAGGAGGTGCAGTGGAAGTGAGCAACTGAAGAAGAAGAAAAATGAAGAGAACTTATGGCAAGTTTTCATAAGATAAGCCCTGTAAACACCACTAAAGATCTATAACCTTTGCTTTGCGCAGCTGCTTGGATAGCAAAAGCGGTCAGTTAAATAGCTACAGATTTTGCTGAAAAAAACCCAAACCAAAACCCCAAAACCAAAACAAATCCCCCAAAATATTTTCCAGCTGGTTTTGCTCTAACATTGCCAGCTACGCAGCTAACACAAGCCCTAGCTCAGGGAAGAAAGAGGAGCATGCTGACAGAGAGAACAGCTGTATGACTGCCCCTCTCAGCAGCTTAAGTCCCATCTCTTTTCCCTCCTGCAGGCAAGACTGCAATTAGTTTTCTAGCTCGTCCTCTCACTCAGATCATTGCAGACCCAAATGAGCAACACCACCGGTTCACAGGAGGGAGGTAAGAAGGATGGGACTGCAGTGGCCTGCAGTACTAAGGAACATAACCAACAAAACTGTCCTTCTAATGGCTCATACGGTTTCATACAGACTTATGAGTTTTGTCCATGACCTCTGCAGATACCTCTTATGAAACAGACAGCAAATCCTTTCTGTATCAAGAGTTTAGACTCACTTCATACTCTATGCACAGGTCAATTAAATTGCAATTCATATGTCTATATAAGTAGAGGCACATAAGCCTGGAACCAGGAGTTATTTTTGTATCCAAAAGAGAAACAGCAGCACATTCACATTAAATAATACCTCTGCAGATACCACATTAAAATCATATTTTGTTATCATGAATAAAATAAGAAATATTACCTTGAGATTTTTTTTTAATTTTATTTAAATTTATGTACTGTTATCACGTTAAACATTAAAGACTAACTGCTTGGAAATTTTACTTTTAACCTTGCACAAGTTTTAAAGTTATCCAAATATCCAAGAAGTGTAGGCCAGGCTACAGATGGTAATACAGTACAGATAAAACAGGGGAAACACAAAGAGGAAAGAGACAAACATCAGGCAAGTCTCCAAGAGGCACAGGTTAGATAACTTTTATTACAGCAGCAGAAACCTTTATTTGATTTTCATCAACAGCGCCATTCAATAATCTACACAAGAGATGAATGACGGAAACAAATTCCAAGACCAGTACAAGATGCTGAAAGAACCTGGAAGATCAGTATTCCCATTAGAAGTTATAAGCTAATCATGGGAAAAAAACCAACATTCATTAAACGAGTATGACGCCAGATTTCATCCAAGTTCTGGAAGAAACATCCAGCTTCAGCACGTATTTCATAACAATCAGTAAATTTTGCCACAAACCACATGCCCGTATTTGTGTCAAGAGTAAACTGATTATTAAAAGCTTCTTTTAGCAGATAATTTAATTTCCTAGCTGCTAGAAGTGCTCTACATTCACAGATTTTCATCTGTCAGATTAATATTAAAAATTCCTGTATGCCAGTGTAGGAGTCAATGTTTTTCAGCTAGCTATCACTTAAGGTTCCTCTGTGTAAGCAAGAACTCCACCTCCTCCCTTAAAACTCAATGGTAAAAGCCAATTAAGAAAAGACAGATGTTTTTAAAATCACAGAGATAATTTGAGCTGTTCCAGCAGCTATGTTTTAGGGAATCATAAGCCACTTAATACTAGTTTTCCGAAGGATCAAATTGCTTTAACTTTGCAAGTACAGAACAAGCAATATAAAAGCAGGCCAGCTACTCTACTTTGTAAGCAACATCTACCTTTTCTCACTTTACAGCAGCCAGTTTTATTATTGGCATCAGAAAATGCCAGTGTTACATAAACTTCTAAACCACGGAATCATAACAGCCCAGATATCTAAAGATTGCCTCTCTTGCTCAGCAACTCCAGACAACATAAGAATACAGATTAGTCCTATTAGTAGGAAAATTCTGATTAAAAAAGGACTTTGAGATGAAATCAAAATGCTTAAATATGGTACAGAAAAATAATTTACTCACATTCAATGTGCACAAGTGAAGTAATGTGCCCTAATCTACTTACTCCCAGGCACATTCCCCAAAGACATCCTGTAATTGAAATTACGTAATACTGTGGAACACTTTGATGACATTTCATTAGAAGCAAAATTAATAGTAAAATGCATCTTCTCTACAAAGCAAGGCTGTCAGTTCGTGAGTCCAACCATCAACTAGAGGCAAACGTTTAAGAAACAAAGAACTACAGTAATTTCAATAATTTCCTATAGTTTTAAGTGAATTACATAGGCTTTTGACACACAGAGCATGTAATATATTATTAACTACAATGTTTATAAAAGTTGCTGCTAACTACTATATGCCCTGCACAAGTCATTTAGGCTTATCTTCATCTCTGCCACTGTATTTTTTTAACACTGTAAAAGTCTTACATGAAGTTCCAATGATTTCAAACTCAGGTCAGCAAATGCATCTCCAAGTTGCCTTTGGGTATGTACCATCTGGAAGAGCTGCGTGGACAGCGTCTGTGCCAGTCTCAAGATATGTTCATATTTTTTTTTGTTATCTCTCAATATATCGATTTGAGCTTCTAATTCCAGATCTACTGTTCTTGAGCCACGACCCAGTTTTTCAGAGATGATCTGACGTGTACACTGCAGAAAAAATATTAAATTATAAAGAATCAAGTATATTCGAGACAACACAGCATACACCCATTTTCAGCTTCAAGGGACGTATAATTACACACAAATTCTTTCACAATCACCCCTCCCAATATAAGTTTGCACAACAAACTGAAAAAACAACACACTCTTTACAAGTTTATCAGGACTCAGCAAGAACAGTTGGACAAGTCTCAACTCCTACTAAGATGAATATTCAAGTTAGCAAATCAAGAGCATAACTAATTGTTTCTCAAGTAAAAAAACACTTATCTCTTTATAGGTTTGGTGAATCTCATTAAGTTAAAAGAAGCATTTTAGCCTACTGCATTGAAGTCAGTTAATAGGAGCATTACTATTCTGCATAAAAATATCTAGTTAGTAATCTTTTGGGCTTTGTCTACCAATTATCCAATTCCAGAACATCCATGTTGTGCTTTCCAAAAATGTTATTTTTGAGTATTTTTTAGGGGGGAAGTCACAAGGTGGTGGTTTTCAGCAGGTTTTTGAAAGCTGACTAGAAAACTGGGAGTTCCTACTAAGAAACACACAAAACAATACAAAAGTATTAAAATGTACTTCTTATTTACAAGTCTATAAAATAGAGATGATTGTGTCAGAAAGACTTTCTTTTCCGTCATAAGTCAAATTCTTAGAAATTCGCAGTTCATTAACACAGTAAGCAGAAAATGTGCTCTTACGAGGCCATAGACACTTCCACCCTGTGTATGGCTGTGACAGATCAGGCTGCTACCACATTCCACTTAGCTGTGACCTCTGCCAGAGACTGAAGCCCAGCTTGGCAGTGAGCCACCCAAGATGCACACTGGGGTTTCCCTTGACTGAGACATAGAGAAGCCTTTTGCAAAGCAGATGTGTAGCAAAGCCATACAATTTCTCTGTGAAAAGCAGGAATTATTTACTGCTATAGTAAGTTACTTGAAGTTAATCTCTGGTCCCAAGAGGTGAAGAGATAATCAATATAAACAAACTAAAAATTATGGCAGAAACAAAAATTACAAGGAAATAAACTTAGTAGTCAAGGCCACAACTACTCTGAAAGGACCTAAACTAAGTGCAAAGTTGCTATTTATTTTTGTGAAATAATGCCCAAGCCTACCTTATATTATACTCCCCAAACACACTATCAGCACTGGATTTCACAGGTTTTCCAGTTCAAGGACTTTTGCTTATTCCAGTCTCATGTCCAGAGGAGACACACATTTAACCTGCTAGAACTTTTATGTCCTTTCTAAATGTAACAGATGAACACAGGAAAGACACAAGAATGATCAAGCAGAACAAGCTGGTCATGACTCATAAGCTTGAGGTCAGAAGGTACAGACTATTTGGGCAACTTAATTAGATTCAACTAATTCACGAGAAAAAGCACAGCTAATCTGGGTGATATTTGTCAAGCATCAGAAATTTGGGAGAGCATAACAAATCGTAATATAGAATACACGTTTACCACCAAAGTCTCCAACAGAAATTGCAATATACAGCTTAGCAATACATGTTCTCAAAGCATAAATAAACCTTTCACTAAGAACTATGGAAGTAATGGCCAAATTTTGGCTACTTTGCAAAAAAGCTGAGGCACACACATGCACACCTCCATGGAAATGCAGGAGAAAAATCTGAATCATGGAAGGCAACATTTCTAGAAGCAAGAATTAATTACAAATGAAGAAATTATTTTCAACCAAGGGGTATTTGCTTCAGAAGTTACAGCAAAACACCTAAAAATGGCCACCAGTGACAAGTTAGGAAAAACCAGTAATTGGAAAGACTTACACTGCATACTTTGTTAAACTCAGATGTAGTGAAAGATAAAGAAGATATCCCTATCTGTTTTGATTACTCCGGCTCTAAGCAGACTAGTATGAACACACAAGTTGCTGTATATTCTCACTAGCAAACAAAGAAAATTCTACACATTAATTCCATTGTGCTTTGTTCTAAAAGTATCTATAAAGAAAACTGTTATGAATAAGACCATGCTACTCAAAATGAAGTCACCCAATGCAAAGCTTAAGAAAAACAACTCAAAGAAAAAAACCCCCACCAAAACACATTAAAGAGAAATATATTTTAAATTGCATATGTTGAAAATGAACAGAGAAACTACTGGGCAAGTCTCAGAAATAAAGGTTCCACTAACAGCCCAGTACTAGAGAGGTTTGTAAAACAGGCTCTCTTTTTTTTTGCCCCTCAAAGTTTAGGAAGTTGTATGAAAAACAAAAAGATAAGCTTTTTGTTAGAATTGCTGAAAGTCAAGAAGACTCATGACTTTCCTATGCCTAAATCTTGTTGCTAAACTGAAAATCTCTTTCTCATCCAAAGGGGAAGGGTGGGGCAGAAGAAAGAACAGAAAAAGATCTTGTCAGTAGACTAAGGAAAGAAGGGCAATTTCTTTTGACACTAACTCATGATTACTAGGGAGCATACGACTGGGAAGAGTGACAGGGGACAACAGTTGCAAAGGCATTCACAGATGGGAATGGCTTCTGAACATACCCAATAATTTAGATTTCACAACTCCTGATACAGACACCATGGCATAGGAACTACTCATATAAAATTCACAAAGAACTTCCTAACATCAAGTTTCACCACTAACTCCACTTGTAGATTAATGTTTGGTACATTGAATAGCAGGGATATTAATCTCAGTGCTGACTTCCTCCTAACCATTTACTCCTGCCCTTTATTTCTTCATCTTCTAACCTATGAACAATTAGCTATTATGAGATAAGGAGGAGACTTCTTCCCATGATCTTCCTGATGGAAAGCACAAGAAGCCACTATGTCCACAAACTTAAATACTGTCCTTAATATGCATTTTATTAAATATGCATTTTGTACATAGTCTACTTATGAAGGGCTTTCAAATGTACAGCATCTCCAGGTCCATTTCCATAATACTCCCTCAACTCAAAATGAATTCATAAGGTCTCTGAACAATCCTATTCCTCCAAGAAAGAGCGTACAAGAAGTCAATATGGGATTCTAGACAGACCACAACTGACATATCTCCTTGGGCGTGTTTGGGAATAGATTTCAAGAAAACATTCATTTACTTTTCTGAAAGTGCTAGTCTTTGTTTGCTATGCTATAAAATGGTGGGATTCTGAAGTTCAGGGAGAGGGGGGTTTAAGCCATGAAAGAAATCTAAAAATCCAGACTTTGCAAAGGCTACAGCCAAAGAAAAAATGCTCTGAACAAGGATCCAAGACCACTTTTCCCAGCACTTTTCACTACTCCTCTGCTTGTTGGTTCATGTCAGGGAGTTTAGAATCATTTTGCAGTTGAGAGAGACACTAGGAGATTTTTTGTTTTTTTTCTAAATCAAGGTACCAAAACGACAGAATAAGGTCAAGTCCTGTCCCATTTAGTTGTGGTATAAGAGCTTCAATCCCAAGAGTCAACATTCTTGAACAGACAGGAGAATTTTAAAGAAAGGCTTCCGCTGAATAGCATGTATTCCAATTGGACCACAGCACACTCTAGAGCAGCTGAATCACAGAATGGGTCAGGTTGGAAGGGACCAACCACAGTGGGTCATCTGGTCCAACCTCCCTGCTCAAGCAGGGTCCTCATAGAGCACAGGGCACAGAACTGTATCCAGACGGCTCTTGAATATCCCCAGCGAGGGAGACTCCACAACCTCTCTGGGCAACCTGTTCCAGTGCTCGGTCACCTGCACAGTAAAGAAGTTCTTCCTCATGTTCAGGTGGAACTTCCTGTGCAACAGTTTTTGCCCATTGCCTCTTGTCCTGTTGCTTGGCACCACCAAGAAGAGCCTGGCTCCATCCTCTTGACACCCTCCCTTCAAATACTTATAGACACTTATGAAGTCCTCTCTCAGTTGTCTCTTCTTGAGGCTGAACAGGCCCAGCTCCCTTTCCTTGTAAGAGAGATGTGCCAATCCCTTAATCATCTTTGTTGCCCTCCATTGGACACACTCCAGGAGCTCCATGTCTGTCTTGTACTGAGGAGCCCAGAACTGGACACAGCACTCCAGTGGGGCAGGATCAGCTCCCCTGACCTGCTGGCAGTGCTCTTCCTAATGTACCCCATGATACCACTGGCCTGCAACTTCTGCAGTTGCTATGAAATTTAGATGACAAGAAAAGGAGAAAACCTAGAAGCCATTTAATTAGACATTAAAAGAAGGAAACTTCTGATTCTAACAGAAAGACAGCATAAACATTTATTATTGGGTAGAATGTCTCCATCTCTGCTTCCCATTCTATCTGGGGAAAAAGTCCTTATCCGGACTTAAAGATCACTGGAGGGATTCAGACTTTCTTTTCCACAGATTCATTTCTTCATGGTTTGATAGAGATCCAACTGATGCACAAACCACCTCTCCACAACTCTGTCATTTAAGTTGCAGGCATAACAAAAATCTGTTTTTCAAAATTTGTCTTTATTTAAAACTCTTGACAGGAATATATTCCCTGACAATTGCTCCTTATCTGATGGCTTTTTAATGACAGTCGCTTCTAGTAAACTAGTGTGCTTTAAGAACCTTTTCATTATTCTTATGTTATTAGTTTAATTTCATCAAATCCCAAATGATCACAAAGAAGCAGCATATAAAACACACATGAATTTAAACAACAATTACAACACTAAGAAAAAACAAACAGCCAAGACAGAACATCAGAACAGCAATTAAGATATACAGAACTTGTAAATGGGTCTGATGTTTCCATCTCAGCTAAAATTTTATTGTATCAGCAATCAAATCAAAAATGGCAAAAAGATTTAATTGCAAGCTTTAGTGCCGAAATCTGTACATTCTGAATGATGAAGGGGACATTAGAAACAGAACATCCTTTATCTTGCTAAATCAGTAATACCTATGAAAGATTTTCCACTTAAAACCAGGGATTTAAAAAGGCTAACAAAGAACGGCACCCTTGGAAGAAAACTAAACCCTCCCTACACATTCTTGCTTATGCTCACTACAACAACAGATGACTTTGATACAGCTCTGGTCCTACCTAGTAGCAAACTCATTTCTAGAATACATACATACATACACACACAAATACATGGCTTGCATACCTTGTAAGTGTTTAGGCTCCACTTTCTCACCAGTTCCAGTTTCTCCATTGCTGGATTCTTTACTTCATCTGCTAACACAACAGGCCCACTCTTCTGCTGAGCTCTGCTCCCTGTGTCAGACAAAGCAAAGGCCTTGGATTGGGGGTTTTGTTTGTTTGTTTTATAAAGGATTAATAGGAGGTATGTAAGATTTGTGCAACTGGACGTACGAAAGCAGAGCAAGGTGACAGTAAAAGCAGAGCAAGGTGACAGTATGAACTTAAGATGAATAAGCAGATCTCAAAATCACTTCCAGAAAGAAAGACTTATTTTGAAACTGATATAAAACATATTTTATATCCCAGTATTTCTTGTAGTAATAGGCTGCACAAAGCTTACTGAATGCATGTTTTACTAACCAACCTTAAAACAGCTTTTGAGACATTTATTACTTAAGCTATGTTTTAAAACTCCAACAGTTGAACACCCTGTTGGGCTTAGCCATTCTAAAAGTCTGTTTACAACCTGCAGACCATTTAATGAAAATTATTGGCATATAAAAAACTGTTGTCCCAAAGTACAGGGTTTTTTAATCTTTTCCAGTGAGCACCATCCTTTCCAGAAGATGTGTTCAAGCAATATCTAACTTACTTATTTCAATTTTATTAGCTCATTGTATTAGGAACAATTAATTCTACAAACCACCAGTATGGAAACATCAACAAAGAACAGATTTAAAGTAACAGACTAAAATATCCAGGGCCAATCACTACACATAAATTGCCCTTACTTAGCATTTTCAAGCTAGTATGAGATATCATGTGAATTCTATGTTTTAGTTTTGCAAAAGTAATTCCTAGTGTCCTAAATACTAGAAACTGCTAAAAATAGTAATTTTTAAGCAACATTTTATTTTTTCATGTACAATTCTGACTACTCCCAACTCTAATCCCTACTGCTACTTACAGTCACCTTAGTCTTGCCAAGTTATTTATGTAAGCAAGATTTTAGAAAAGAGTCTATACAGATGCCTCAAGATACTCCTTTAGCATCCTACTGTGTTCTTTACATCTTCAAAATGCTGTGCAAACATAAAGTAACTAACCCTCTCAACACCCTTATGAGGCAACTGAGTAAGTTTTCTCCTTTTATACAGGAGGAAACAGACTAAGATGTTAAGTAATTTGCCCAGAGGCACAAAATGAGTCAAGTGGCAAAGCCTAGTTTGGGTGTTGTGAATTCCTAATGGCTGCCTCCATAGTCTAGTCGATTGGAATATGTGATCCTTTTGGAAAAAAAATCCAAAAGTTTCAGCTTTAACCTAAATAAATGATTTTGGTCTCTCCTATTTTAGCTGTTTTTTAACTGTTTGTTATTATTAATATTTGGTAGTTATATTTCTAATTTTATAGAGTAAAAGCAGCTGACAGAGAGGAAAGCAGAGGTTACTTTGTGAACTGCTAAAAGTCAGAAATGAGAGCCATCAAAAACCCCCAGAAGTTGAATTTCCAACTAATAGTAAATCAAATTATTAGAGATGTGGAGGGGTTAGTACACTGTCAGCAGAGACGAGGGCGTTATCCGCTCAGTGCTTTGATACCTGTGGGAATAATTAAATCACAACCTTGTCCAGCCAGTCTGCTAGCTGCTGCACTGCTAGGAGATATAACAGATGATTTGGGTGATGCTGAGGAACCTGAAAAGGGGACATTTAACCATGAAAATCCATCATCTTCCCATAGAAATCAATGCACGCTTTTACACAGACATAGGTTTTTTTTTCAAAACAAAGAAACATTTGCTTCAGCAACAATAGAAGCATCCACAGAAAAGGTGCTGGAATTTCTGATGGAAATGCTTTTTAAGAGGTGTAGCTGTCCATGTGAACTACGCCAAGTTTTCATGATTTAATCTTTTTCTCTACATCATTATGACAATTTTTTTTTCTGTAAGAGTAACCAAATCACAACTGACAGCTTCATCAGTAAAGTACATACCATAAACAGAAAATTCCGTGTACTATTGTTATATACAGTTTCTACAGCTGAAACATCCTTTTTTAGGTCCAGGTAGATTTGCTCTGCACTGTCACTGAATGGTACTCAAAGCATTAAGAGGTGAAGCAAGCTCTGAAATCTCAGCCAGTTTCAGATACACTGAAAGTGACATCCACTCTTAAGTCAGTGTAAACACGCAGCAATAAGTTATCCTGAAGATCACAGGAGTCATTAGCTCTGGAATCGTGTAAACTCATTCCCAAAAGAAAGATTTTACATCACTTGCTTTTTCTCTTAAAAAAACCCAACCAAACAAAAACCAACTATCTTTAAATGACATGCACTCTGTGTGTTCTCTAAGCTGTTTCAGGATTATGCTTTTCAGAGCTTTGCCACTCTTTCATAACAGATAAATTTGAAGTGGCATCCTTATGAAATTTTCAGGATTTAAAAACCAACCAAACAAATTAGCTTTTTCTCTGTAGTGATGAGTGACCCCCATATTGGGGGGGAACTTTTATTGCTTTTGTTGAAAAATTCCAACATACTTCAGGGCTAACAGTATAATAACGAGGGGAAAGGAAATCAAACCTGAACTCTAGTGGTTTCAACAAAATTTAGTTATCAGGAACACCAAAACACCACTCCAAGTAACTGGATCAACAATTAGCTTTTGTCTTTTAAACATACTACAGAGCACTACTAACATGGGGTTAAGTAAATCCAATGATTTGGATCCAACTGCACAGAAAAATGAGACAAAGACAGCTCACTTGCTGTGTTCTCCTGTAGCAATACATTGCATAAGAGCTGCAATTGGATTCATCCAGGCGTAGAAGTTTGACTGCAAGATCCTGCTAAAGGCCTCAAGACTGAATCATTCCAGCAAGCGAGCCAAGACAAGCAGTAAAAAATCCTTATCATTTGACAGAGTATTAATGCAGCCTTATGCATGCTTCATCATTCAACATCCCCCAAATCCTAAAAGCCCTTCCCCTCCAGTATTGTCTACTCTGCATTCAAAAATGAAGCCCTAGTAGAGGCACTAAAACAGAATTTTTAGAAATTCTTGTCCATACTTTCATAGAAAGTCCTAGGTTTTATCACTTCTCTCTGTCTGATTTTATTAGAACATCAGGAAAAATCTGAAGAAAATATCCTTGGAGGAAAACTGTGACATCTAAAGTGTCCAAAGCTCATAATTTGTATACAAAAATTTTCACAGAACATTTGCATTTCAAACATATTAGTGTAGCTTTAAACACATCTTATACACTTTTCCCTTATAGGCTAATGCAGTTAACAGCTGCAACAGTTATCCTGCTAATACAGTATAAAAAGTCAAAAATGGTGAGCAGTTTGCCATATGCCCAGTTTTTAGCTAGATATTTTGCTAATTTCAAAGATAAAGAAACACAACATTCACTTTGTAATATATGTAATGTACAGCATATAAATCACTGTTTTCATAAGCAAAGAATTTTACCAAACAGGAAATGACGGAAAATGTAAATTAAATCTATGACTACAAAGAGACTTATTTTCACAGCTGCGCATCTGAGATAATTTCCAACCTTTCAAATTCAGAAACTGTCAAAGCTACATAATTCATCAAATATCATTTGCACATACTATATCATGGTATTCTATTGCTTTTTGACAGATAGGAAACACTGACATTTTTGGCTTGTTTATCACTTCGTATTTCTCATTGTTTGATACTAGCTTAGACTCTCTAAGGCATACATTAATACAACAAAGAAGAATTCCACCTAATAATTTGCTCTAGGTAAGTGAAGAAAAAATAACTCTCCAGTTATGTTTCAAATGAGAATAATACCCTGCAAAATTTAAAGAAAACTTCAACAAAATATAATAGTAAAATTCTTCAGCCTGATACAAGTTCAAGGTGCTCAAGGTGCCCTTCTTGTAAATGCAGACCAATTTAACACTAAGTAGTTTCCTCTAGTCCCTTGACTGATACTGCAAGTGTGGCATATATTCTGTATTTTAACAACCCAGCTACCAGAGATGATAAACTGGTTGTCACTAATGCAAATCTCAATGTGTACATTTACACCAAACTGTTAAAAGCAGCTACAGAACATTGTGTTCCTAACCATGCAAAAATATGCCTAAAGATTTTAAATTAAGAAATACAAAAAAGCATTTACCTTTACTTGGAAATGGTCCTGCCTCAACAACTCCCTCTTTGGCACTGTCAAAGCCACGAGATGTTATTTTGGTTTCAGAAAGTCCAAGTCCAACTGGTAACGAATATTTCAAGTCCTTGAAAATATTTGAATAAAAATTGAAAGTTAATGTTAAAAAAAAAACTAACAACAAAGTGACTCAAAAGTATTATAATGCAATTTCAGCAGCTCTCAGACAAGCAATTCAGTCTTTAGCCTGGAATGTCCTCGTTGGTGTCACAGCATTCTACTGCTACACAAATAAAACATAAATGAAAGAGAAACACTGTAAGTATAGCCTGAGTATTTATTCTAGAATTTTTTGTTATATTGATGAACAACTAGAACACCATCTCTTAGAGCAGCAGTTACCAAAAACGTGGCCTGAAACATCATGTTATATGGTCTGAAGCTGGTCCAAGCAAGCATATCAGTTTCATAAAGCTTCCAGTTAAAAACTGGACTAACAGGGGGGCAGAATGATCTAAGACTATCAAGCAGACAACATCTTACAAACCAAAAATGTGGAAGCAATTATCACAATGTTAAAGATTAAAAAAAAAAATCACTCTAAGCAAGAAATAGCTTTAAAAATCATAGCATCCTTATTTTTTATAAATAGCACATGAAATCTTTTTAATATTTGACATGGGAGAAACATCCAGAAAGGCATCACTTCAACAGCTTCCTTCTGAGCCTACATCACAAGTGTCACAGCACAAAGCTGCCATTTACTTCTGTTTGCTTTTGAAATTCATTGATTTAAAATTGCTTAAGATCACCTTGTTTAACTTTGGAGAACTAGATTAACTACTACAACCAACTTCCAAGCAACTGAAGTCTTCGCTGAAACCCAAAACAGGCCTATAAATCCATACACCATGAACCATGAATCCATACACCACAATTCACACACCATCCCACTGCCCATTTTTGCTGTCTTGCCCATCTCTACAAATAGCTCCCACAAAGGTTTCCTGGACTATATTTCCAGCCTTCTGACTGAGGTTTAAGCCTCTGGTGTTATGGAATGATATTTAGTGCTTTAAAATAAGTTCAGATTTTAAAGCAATTTAAAACCATTAATTCATTAAAGTAAGAAGTGTCTGAAAAACTACTATGGAAGTCAAAGGAAAACGGTAAAATACAGTTACAAAAATAAAACATGAAGAAATTGGAAAACTATCAGTGTCTGGAGTCAGCTACTTTTTTGCATCCCCTCTGCTTCCATACAGAGGCAAAAAAGTGGAAAAAGTATAGAGGAGCACTAGTGAAATTTGCACAGAAAAGCTACACATAGCTTTAAGGTGTAGTAACTGTTTATGATATATGCAATGCTTCTAATTACAAAGAAAACACAACCTTTAAAATCCAATTCATGTTTGACCTATTACTGTAGTTGCTTGATCCACAAACCAGAAGCGGGATAGTGCATAAGAATGGTACTGCCTAGAGGCTCAGATTGTCAATAAGTGGCTTTGGATCACAGGATCACATCCCCAGAGATTTAGTTAGGTGTCTTTAGTTTAGGACAAACTCCTGGGAAGAGGAAAAAAAGGAAGAGCTACAAACATGAATTCCAGCAAGACAGAAATCTTGCTGACATCAAAAAAACCCAGGATGTTACTGCAAACAGGGTAACCAATTCCTACAGTCATATTTTTACTTACATGAACTGGCTAATAATAAAGTATGCCATATTTGTGTATCTAAGGCATTATACAAAAACAAAACAAAAAAACCCCAAGCACAAAACAAAGAAACCATCCAGCATGAACAACAAATAGTAGTCACATGCAGAACCTGATCTCACAAATTAAGCATATTGCAACATTGGACACATACTGTTTTCAGTCTTCACAACTGACTTAACACTGGTGCTTCCATTTAAGTACTCGCAGTTGGTGGTACGATGGAAAGGCTTTGCTTCAACTTAGTTTAGCTAATGCACAGAGACCATTTAACTCAAAATGTAGGAAGTCACCAGATGCTGAAAAATTAGAGAGACTTGAAAAAGGATAACCAGATTGCAGAGAAGATACACTGATTTAACAAAAAGGACATGCCACGAATTATTTTCTTCCTCAAGGCACCTTGGAGCCTTATAGTTTTCAGAAATATCTAAACCTGTAGCCAAACAAATGTAGACAGCTAACCTGCTTAAGCATGTTTGCAATAGGAATCTAAGCAATCATCTGTATTTAATGTTAAAATGCAGAACATCTGCTTTGTAAAGACAAAAGTTTAGACATAAACTTAAGCAATTGTACTACTCTGTACATTCGATGTAATTCTAATTTGAAGCTAAACAGAGGCTGGACCAACTGTAGTGCTTATTCTGATTTATTTAATCAGAATATTACAACACATCTTTCTCTTAAATAAAAACTTGGTATTTGGATTATGCAAATTATTAAGATCTCCAACTGTGTATATATATATATACACCAGGGTGTTTTACATAAATATATGCATATGTGTATGTACACACACACATATTTGTTCCAAGAGATCTACTTTTTTTCACTGCCAAAAAGGCAAAGTTCAGTCTAAAGAACTGCATTCAAACCTCTCTTTAAACACTTATTAACAAGCTCAAATATATCCTGATGAAGAACACTATCCTTGCATAAGAATTTAAAAGAAAGAGCTACCATAGCATACATGACCAGAACTGCCATCAAAGTCAGGGACTATCAAAACAATACCCTTCTGTTACTTATACACATGCAAGTTACTTTCAGTGGATACACAGTGCTGCATGTAAACTTCAATTTTGGACATGTCATTCTTACAACTGATTGTGCTTGCCTTTTTTTTTTTTTACAGAAGTGTAGATAAACAAAAAAGCTAGCAAAAACCCCTGTAATCATACTGATCCAACAATTTATCCCTTCAACAATTTACAAAGAAGGATAACTTAGGGAGGACAGATTTCCCTACTACAGTAAGGTGATTATATTTTGACAACATACTGCTCTTTTAGCCAAGTGTAAGATTTCTCCCTTTCTTTGTAAAAGGTAAGTCCAAGTCTCTAGAACTGATCAAAATTTGTTGATACATTGCAAAACCACAAATCTGTTAATGGATCACCATTACCAAAAACCAAAGAGAAAGACGCTTCATTCGTAATTTTCAATTCTATGACATTGTTAATGCAATTATCTTCTAGAAAAAGTATTTCAGTATTGTAACTTCACTGAGACAAAGAGCTAAAGGTATAAAAAAACACAGCTCAGAAGTTTCCCAAGGAGTTAAATGTTGGACTACCTATCCCACTCTCAGCCATTTAGCATGCTTAAGGCTCAAAGAAGCAAAGCATGAAATATAGGGACACAGAACAGCTGCACTAACTTAATTAGGTCTGCTCAAGACAATCCAAACCTACATAGCACAGAACATTTAAGCCACTTCAACCATTTGTTAAAATCCCATTTTAATTACTTCAAATCACCATATTAAACTAAACATATTTTACTCAGGTTAGCCTTATTTACACAACTCTAACAGGGATATTATCAGTTTATTATACAGATCATCTAGAGGTACCAGTATGCATTTTTGACATAGCAATCCTGTTGAGACAGCAGACACAGCAACGAAGTCACTCAGAATGCATGTTCATGAAGGAATGTTGGCTGAATTACAAGATTATTTTCAAAACAATACTTCCCATCCATGCTATCCATATTAATCTAAAATGAAGAAGGGAAAGACCAGAACTGTATTTTCTCCAACAGTAGAAACCAACCTACCAAAACTTGCTTACTTTGAAGAAACTTACTTAACTAAAGAGCAACTAAGGAGATATCACTGTATTAATTTCTTAGTTATGCCAGTCCATTATTAATGCATGACTAAGCATTATCTTCTCCTTAGTACCAGCAGTAGGTTTAACAGATATGGTTTTACTTGCCTTTACTACCTTGTTTTTAAAACCCCACATCACTAGCTCGTTCAATAAATATAGGTGGACCAACTAAACTGGGACCAATCATATGCTTGTTTATTTTTTAAACTCAGGCCACTATAGGCAATTTGATTTGGAAATTTTTTAATGATGGATGACTCCAGTTGCCTTCAGGAAAAAATTGCAACACATCTTATTGTAAAGTTCACAGTTTAAAGTCCAATGATACAGAAAGTTGTGTAGATAGACATAATATTTATCCAGTAAGATAGATGGGCTCCAAACTTTAACTTCTTATCCAAAATCATGTACAAGTACAGCTCCTTGTACATATTCAGCATTTTCTTCTTTTCGCCCTATTACATCACTCAGTTCCTATTTTCCATTAAGCCACTAGATCCTCCAATCAGTTTAAATTCAAGCATAAATAAATGTATTCTCCAATACATTGCTCTTCACTCAAAAGACCCTTTCTACCATATCCCTTTTGATTCACCTAACATAACACTGCAATCCAGTTTTAAATTAGTTTCCCTTCTACTCTCATCATTAACATGCATATTTTTGGTTTTTCAGACTGTACGAAGACCACTTGACTTTTTTATTTCCTGAAAACAGTTTTCTAGAGCTGACACACAGAAATGTATTTTAAATCAGCCTACATTAATTAAACTATAATTACCCAAAGTAAAAATCCGACTATGTCAGTGAACCTAGTAAAACCTAAGAGATGAACTCAGATGTTGCAGGCAGAATGTGAGTGACAAGGCTGGCATCTTTTTTTTCAGAAGGCAAAAGACAAAAAAGAATTTACCTTATCTATTTGTGCAGTCTGGCAATAAAATTACAGAACAAGATACTGAACACAGGCATTCAGATTCATCAGATTCCAGAGCTTATTTCATAATTCTAATAAGATAAATTGAAGACACAATACGGTTGATTTATCTTTTGCAGCCTGAAGTTTATTACTGGTATTATATACATGTTTAACAATGATTTTGTTCCCATAACAGTACAGTAAGATCCATGAAAAAGAGCCTATGTTGAAATTAAAAGGAAACAATTGAAACAATCAATTCAGAGACTCAAACTGATATGAATGTTATACAGATTTTGTACAATAGTTTAAACGTAACAAATCACTTAAAGCTGCTTGAGTATCTTTACAGGCAGACCAAACAATTTTCTGAAAAATTAAATTTAATCCTATGCAGCTTTCACACTATATGGCATGTTACTGAATATAGAAATAGAAAATAGAAATAATATACTTCCTCACTCCTTCCTACAGTTCTCAGCTCTCAATCCCCGCAGTGACATTAAAACACCACTGTGCTAATCACATAATTATAATAGCATGGCAGGAAAACTAGAAGTCAGGGATAAGTGAAATAAAAAAAGTGAATTATATAAACCAGCAATACTCAAATATTCGCAAACCGTTCTATACACCAAGTTCTTAAAGCCTAAGTGAGTTCCAACAGAGTTTAGAGAGCTGGAAAGCACTGGGTCAAGCTTTTTCTTAATGAAAGAACATTAGATATTTGATCCAATGATGACTGAAGCTACAGCTTTTTTTAGTTAAAGAGTTTCCATCCCTCATACAGGCAGGACAAAACTTGTTGGAATTCCACGGGCATGTTTTATTATAGAATTAGAATGTAGTAGCATATTTCTGAATGAGATTTTACAGGTAGGAAAACGTTTAAGGTACCTTGTATGTATGCTTTATACCAAGAAGATGCATCAATTTGTGCTATATCACATTCCCACAAGACTGGAACTAACATGTTTCCTTCTGAAATGCCATTATGACAATCAATGACAATCTATGTTGTCTGATGTTCTGCAAAACTAAAGGAGGAGTTTTTTCTTCAAAGGAGGAGCAACACTGCGCTGCCTCGCAAAATTAAATACTTCTCACACTTGAGTGCATACTAATACTGCATTTGCTGAAAAATAAATGTGCATTTTCAAGCCTGAGCAGCCTCAGGTCTGATGGAAGTGCTAAATAGAACAGGAGTCTAGAGGAAAATGTAGTGTTGTCATTAAAGAAATCTAAGAAAAAGGTTGTACAACTACCTCTTTACTCAGTCTATCAAAAACATACAATCTAAGCTGCTGAAGTCTTTGTCACAAAATAGCTGTAGAATACCAAAAAATACAGAATAAATGGTATTTTATTGTTTACATCTGAATTGTAAAACACTTAAATGAACATGTACCTGATTATAAAAATAAGAAAGCAGGAAGCCAAAATAACCTTGTTCTCCAGCTCCTAAAGAACGTGCAATCAAAATCAGTATATTGGAATTTGAGTGCTCTAAACTCTACTGTGGTCACATACTCTTACCAAGCACTGTCATAACAATTCAAATTAAAGAAGTCATGGTTTCTTGCCCCTTTCTTAAGCAACCTCATGAAAATCAATACTTGGCTTGTCGTTTCTGTAAGTTGAAAGGAAAAATGACCCCTGAAAACTCAGTAGAGAAATTTTGTGGTGCAATGCACATATTGCTTTAAGTTAAAAAAAAATTATCTGGCAAGGAAAAAAAGAGAAAGCATGGCATTAAGCATTAGAAATAACAAACATGAATCAAGATGAATAGAAGACTAAATACTAGCAGATTGGTAAACAGACCTAGATGTTAATTCCAAGAAGTTTGTTTTCTTTGTTTTGTTTATAAGAAGCCCTGTTTATCACATATTCTGAGTTTAGGTCACACATGTGGGTGTTAACTTGTATAAGACAGTTCAAAAAAATAATTGAAGTGCACTTCTTCATTGATCTCAGAATAAGCACTGAGAAATAATTACAGCAACAAGTTCAACTATGCATGCATAGTGTAAGTTTTCCGCAGTTTGACCAAATATTTGACCTACTTTTGTGGAAGTAGAAGTTTCAAAATATAGTTGACTTCAAGCCAGCAAAATTATTAGCATGCCAGCAAAAACCTACTCCAAGTTTTATATATATGGTCGTAGACAGAAACTACCTTAAAATTTCACCTTTACATTTCGACTGAACAAGAGCGCAGGTTCCACTTGCTGTACGTAAGTATTGCATGCACTACACTGAAGAAGCGATCATAATGTAAGGAAAAGGTAACTTCGACAGCAGTCAAGTCACAGCAGCAGCAGCTTAAAAACAGTAAATCTGTTTCTCTACTTCGAGGTGAACCCAAATTCATTACTACTTCAAGACACATTTCCTAATGTTGTCCCCTTAGGCATATGTACATCTTTATAGAAATGTAGTTTTAACTTTATGTCATTAGATACTGTCCTAATTTTTACATTATGTTACTGATAGAGCTTAGTTGAATGACAAATCTTAAGAAACATAACCCTTCCCTCATTGCAGTGCTATTCATAAAAAAGAATCCCCATACATCAGAAGCAGAAAAAATGCCCAGTAACAAGTGCAGTATTTTTAATATGAATGCATTTCCATCTCATGAAGTTTTACACTTTTTTTTACAGCCATGCTCACTATACAGCTACCCTACAATCATAGTCAAATGGTCTCAGATCTTGTTTTCGTGATATATTTTATTTTTTTTATTTCTTGAAATACACATTTAAACACATTTAAATAACATATTAATAATTAAAATTATACATGTTTTAAACCATAATTTTAGTAAATATATTTATATGCCATTTTTCTGTCTTATGAATAAAATTCCTGGATTAAAAATCAGTACCCTCAAGGCTCAGAATCAATAATTAGAAATGCATACACTTGATTGCATATTACAGAGTACCCAGTACTTTACACCATTTAGCATTCAGGAAAAAAAAATCATTACTAATATACCTTGCACTGCAATGTGCAGTATGTGCTTTGGTTTTTTTTTAGTCAACTTTAACAATAATTTATCATCTTTGAAGGACTTTTTATATTAAAGTAAAAACAGAAGACTAAATTTGGCAAATTCTTATTGTATCAATATTCGGCATGTATATGTAATTTGTTTTTGAACTTATAAAGGTTCTCCCCTCTAATCAGCATTTTAGTAGGACAGAATAAAATGTTGAAGTTCTGCAAAGTATTCATTTTAAATATAATCCTACAGTGCAAGTCACTATGGGACTGTTAAAACTCAGAGATTTCCTTAAAATCTAAGTCTCAGCAGATATCAAATAAACGTGGACAATTAACTAGTCTTTGTATTTCCAAATGAAAATCAAAGTAAAAAGAAAAGAAACCCAACCCCAAATTCCATAAGCTGTACCACGGCGCTCTCTGCTGGATGTCTGAACACTTAGAGAAACTGATCCATATGAATCAAGGTTAGGGGAAGGAATCAAAACTTGCCACAGTTAACATGTCTTTTATACAAAAAAGATTATTACAATGTGTGATGACACTATGCTATGTCAACTTTAACAATGATCTATGAGCTTCAAAGGAGTTTTTCCATTAAACCTCCAGAAAACCTCAAGTGAAGTCTGCTATGCCCTGCATTGTAACTTAGCATTTCTGATTATGATACTTAGGCAGACAGCAAAAAAAATTCTTACCCTGTTAAAGGTGTGCTCGTGAGAATCTTCCAGTTGTCCATTGCTAGTCACAGGGATTTCTGCTGCTGAATTTTTGGGAGACTCTTGAGCCATTGCACTTTCCTATAGTATAAGAAGAAACAGGTCATTTGTCTTAAATTTCCAATGAGTAATCTCTATGAAAACAGTTGATTTTATTTAAAACTCCTATTGGAAATATTCTGATATACTTGGTCTGCATACATTTGTTTAATCACATCCCCAAATCACAGTTATACATTAGCACAGCTCAGTCAGAAGTAACTTAAAGATCTAAGAGAAAAGAAACACTAAAATTTAGGCCACTGATATTGGGGGAGTAAGACACAAATGAGATGTGGGGCCAGACAAATGTTTTCCATGCACACTTGAGCCTTAGTTTCTGTGTCTCAAACTATAAAAAAGGTGAGCTTAGCTAAAAAAATTGCACTACCTATAAACAGCAATAAATACTAGAGAAGTGCAACGAGTTCATGTGTTACAAGAAAAGTTATGATTCCAAACCTTAAAATAGTTTAAGTTGCTTCTTATTTAGCCATAACATAGTGCCACCTTCTGACTAAACTGTTGGTATGCAACTCTTATGCAGTCAACAGCAGCACACTTGAGGTGAAATGCAGAAGCGCCGAAAGAACTCAAAAGCACCAATGGAATTCAAGAATCAAAGTTACTTCCAAATGCAGTTGCATCATGAACAGTAGTAGCATCTGTGAAACTACTGATTTCAAAAATGACCTAAGGTATAACCTAGAAGAGACATTCCCAGGAGAACTGCACATCATTTACAAGCACCTGAAGAGAGAATGGCACCCTAACACTCTCCAAAATGAAGAGAAACTGAAAATTAATCCCTTTCAAAAAGCTACTCCTACCTCTGCAAAGCAGCTTCATTAGTCACCTAAAGTGTAAACAGTAGAAAAATCAACACACAACCAAGGCAGTGTTTGTTCAATTACTTACATAAAAGTTGTCTGAAGTCTTCAAACCAGCCCATGCACTTGTGCAAGACTGGCAAGACAAGGTATACCATCAACAGGTACTTGAGAATAGATACCTTTCTTCCCTTAAAGCTCCTAAATCATCAAACCAAATTAGTTCTTTTCAGTCTAAGGGTCAGGAAGAGATCCAGCCTGAGACAAGGCTGAAGTACTAGCAGCTTCTCCAACCACACATGAAGTTTTACAGGATAACAATGTAACACAAAGATTTTACTGGTACTTACTGAGGATCACCTGCATCATTCTAATTTGGCAATGTTTTCTGTCATATCCCATTGCTAATATTTCCTCCATTTTCATGTATCAACACTTCATTTACATTAGTGAGATAGTAAGTTTTGAGGCCTCTCAGCTTTTTTCTAACTGTCTGTGGGCTCCAATTAACATGCTTCTCCAATTCCAGATAGCTTTCAAAGCTTTGCTACCATAACTTCTTCCAAAAAATGTAAATTACTGAGACTTCACCTCACCTTGTCTTTTGAAGCAGAGGTCCCAACTCAAACTTCCTTTGGTATCTACAACTAAATCTGAACGTGTAATAAGCTTCTTCAATTGGCAGCATAAAAACGTCCACCAAGTTCTGAATGAACACTGCCTTTTACCCATGCAGAGAAGAGAAAGAACAAGGAGAGCACCTTGGTAAACAGCCCTAAAAGCAAAGGGGACCAGGAAGGATGGACACACTTCAAAAAAGAAATCCTAAAGGTGTAGGAGCAGGCCAGCCCTATGTGCTGAAAGGTGAGCCAGTGGGGAAGATCGGCCTGGCTGAACAGGGAGATTTTGCAGGAAATTAGGGAAAAAAAGAGAGTCTATCGCCTTTGGAAAAAAAGGCAGGCAACTCATGAAGTGTTTAAGAATGTAGTTAGGTCATGTAGAAAGAAAATTTGAGAGGTAAAAGCACAATTTGAACTTAATCTGGCCACTTCTGTTAAGGACAACAAAAAGTGTTTTTTAAATACATCAGTAGCAAAAGGAGGGGCAAGAAAAACCTCCATTCTTTGTTGGACACGGAGGGGAACATAGTTGCAAAGATGAGGATAAGGCTGAGGTACTGAACACCTTCTTTGCCTCAGTTTTCAACAAGACGACAGGTTGTCCTCAGGACAACTGGCTTCCTGGGCTGGTAGACAGCAACCGGGAGCCCAATAACCCCCCTGTAATCAGTGACCTGCTGAGCCACCTGGATTCTCACAAGTCCATGGGACCAGATGGGATCCACCCTGGGGTGATGAAGGAACTGACGGAAGAGCTCACCAATCTGCTCTCTATCATTTATCACCAGTCCTGGCTCACCAGGGAGGTCCCAGATGATTGGAAGGTGGCTAATGTGACACCCATCCACAAGAAGGACCAGAAGGAAGACCCGGGAAACTACAGGCCTGTCAGCCTTACCTTGGTGCCCGGCAAGATTATGGAGCAGATCATCCTAAGTGCGATCACACAGCACCTACGGGACAGACAGGGGATCAGACCCAGCCAGCACAGGTTTAGGAAGTGCAGGTCCTGCCTGACCAACCTGATCTCCTTTTATGATCAGGTGACCTGCCTGGTGGATGAAGGGAAGGCTGGGGATGTAGTCTACCAGGACATCAGCAAAGTCTTTGACACTGTCTCCCACAGCATACTCCTGGAAAAGCTGGCAGTCCAGGTGTACTCTGTGCTGAGTTAAGAATTGGCTGGAGGGACGGGCTCAGAGAGTGGTGGTGAACAGTGCTGCATCCAGTTGGTGGCCAGTCACTAGCGGTGTCCCCCAGGGATCAGTGTTGGACCAGTCCTGTTTAATATCTTTACTGATGATCTGGACAAGGGGATTGAGTGTACCATCAACAAATCTGCAGATGATACCAAGTTGGGGGAGTGTGTCAATCTGCTGGAGGGTAGGAGGGCTCTGCAGAGGGACCTGGACAAGCTGGATAAATGGGTTGAATCCAGTGGTATGATGTTTAACAAGACCAAGTGCCAGGTCCTGCACTTTGGCCACAACAACTCCATGCAGCGCTACAGGCTGGGGACAGAGTGGCTGAAGAGTGACCAGGCAGAAAGGGACCTGGGGGTTCTAATGAACAGAAAGCTGAACATGAGCCAGCAGTGTCCCCAGGCAGACAAGAAGGCCAATGGCATCCTGGCCTGGATCAGGAACAGTGTGGCCAGTGGGACCAGGGTAGTGATTCTGTCCCTGTACTCAGCACTGGTTAGGCCGCACCTTGAGTACTGTGTTTGTTCTGGGTCCTTCAGTTTAGGAAGGACACTGAGGGGCCGGAGAGTGTCCAAAGAAGGGCAATGAGGCTGGGGACAGGACTCGAGCACAAGTCCTATGAGGAGAGGCTGACAGAGCTGGGGTTGTTTAGCCTGGAGAAGAGGAGGCTCAGGGGTCTCTACAACTACCTGAATGGAGGTTGGAGCAGGGTGGGCATTGGTCTCTTCTCCCAGGCAACCAGCAGTAGGACAAGAGGGCAGTCTTAAGCTGTGCCAGGGGAGGTTTAGGTCAGACATTAGAAAGAAATTCTTTACAGAGAGAGTGATCAGATATTGAAATGGGCTGCCCAGGGAGGTGGTGGAGTCACCATCCCTGGAGGTATTTAAGAAGAGACTGGATGTGGCACTTAGTGCCATGGTCTAGTTGACAGGGTCGTGTTGGGTCATGGGTTGGACTCGATGATCTCAGAGGTCTTTTCCAACCTGGTTGATTCTGTGGTTCTGTGACAAGCCACTCTAAGAACCCTGCATATCAACTACAAGCTGTCTAAGTACACCCAAAAAATACCACCTGAGGTGATCCATTTCCCCCCTTTGAGGATAAATACTCTCTACAACTAACTTAGCAGAACTGAATTGAATGCTACCCTTTCAAAAATAGTGCTTTATGAAACCTTTCCCTAGAATAAGAAGCTAAACATTTAGGCACAGCTTGTTAAAAAAAATTCTAAATACAGAGAGAACAGTTTTCAAATCATTTAAAAAAAAGTGTGCTATAAATTCAAGGAAATGGCGACTTCATAACACACTAACTTATCCCATCAATCCCTCTCATTTAAGATCCAGCAAGTACTTTCTTTCAGCACTGGCAAGGAATACCTCCTATGCCATATATTCACATTGGCCTAGCATACCAAATTCTCCACACAGCCCAGTCTTCACCCACAACTGGAGCACAGAACTTTTTTTTTAGGTCATTCTTAATACAACTGAATAAACTCAAACCTTGTAGCCTTTAAGTAAATGAAGATACTGAAGCACACCAAAAGGTCTATGCTTACTTTATAAGTACTTCTAAAACACTGATTTGTTTAATTTCATAAAATATAGAATATCTCAAGTTGGAAAGGACCTATAAGGATCATCAAGTCCAACTCCCTGCTCTTCACAGGGAATTGCTACACAACACCATCAGATCAAATGTTCTAGTTATGTATCATATTAGATTTTGATTTAGGAAATCTGCCCAATCGACCAAGCTTCTTAAGCTTGCTCTGAATCTCACATCTGCTTAAGCTCTAAGACTGCTAGGAACTACACTTCTACTTGGCACGGTCAAGTGTGGTATTGTTCAAAATGCTTGGCCTGTCACAGCTACCTGCACAATACGGAAACATTGGCATAGGCTAACACAGATACTTTTGGTCTTCTTTCTGCAAATTATCAGAGAACACAGTGCAAAGGGGAACTCCTGTACTGTCAGGGAATATGTTTTGTTCGGCAGGGATCACAAACAAAAATGCACCTCTAAATTTAACTAAAGGCAAAACAAATACTTGGCTTGGGTGCTTTTCATCAAGAATCTCAAATCACCTTGCAAATATTGACATTGATATATTTTTTATACATTTATTCAAAGATATACACACTCAGGCATATGCACGTCTCTAGCAAATACATACATTAAAAAATAAAATTCATCAGCTTCTCTGGACAACTTTTGAAATCTACTACAACCTAGAAGCAATTCACTTATTTTTTTAGGCATTCCTACTTGAGTAAAACTATGTATGCAGTTCAGAAAAAGCAAAAAATTACTTGCTAACTTCAGTTTCATCCTATGTTTGAACTGTAACATAATTTTCCTTTGCTGAAAGGAGGACATTTCACCACTCTACTTTTCCAGTCCCTACTGTGAGCCACACAGTGTCCCACCTCCAAACCACTCACCTGACTGCAGTCACCACACACAACTCACTAGCCTGGCAATGGGACCTTTTCACCAGGTTAATTTTCCAGTGTCAGTGAGTTGAATCAGTTTGCAGTGAGGTCAGACAAGTACCAAAGACATGAAACGAGCAGCTGAAAAGGGGAAGTGGGATAAGCTGCTAATTTGACTCAGACATAACAAGAAACCACCGCCTGCATTTTAGTCAACAGTTTACACTAACACTGTTGTCAAAAAGAAGTCCTTGCCCTTTTCCCCAACTCTTCCTCCTATCAGCTTTTGCCATTCCTTCACCTCTTCCCTGAGCCAGAGCAATATATTTGTACAGCAAACAAGATTCCAGAAACACTGCAGGTTAAAAGAAGGTGACCTGTGCTTAAAATGAGGATGGATAATTTTTCCACTCACATCAGTTCCCCAAAACAGTTCATCACATGGCTCCTACACTTGCACCTATGAAACTGAGGGGGTAATAATGCAATAAGAATATACTGAGAATGAAGGACTGCTCTTGGCCACAGCATCAGCTTACTTTAGCAGTGCAATACCTCAAAATACTTACTCAACTGTAGGCTACTACTAAAAACAAGCAGTGATTTCTCTTTACCTCTGCATGTGTTTTCCTGTAACCTCACACAATCATGGTGAGCTTATTGATCTGAGAGAAAAGTAAAGCATCAAACCACAACAGTACTTCTGTTGAAACAGTGAGTATGATTGCTGAATCTAGTGCCCCTTTGGCAAGTGTAACCCACAGCAGGCTTAAACTAAGAATACAAAGAAACTGAATTCTCAGAAGAAAATTTATCATATGTAGAAACAGCCTGAAGTAAATCTTAATAAGTTCCTAAATTTGTATTGCTGTATTAAGCATGAATGACACAAGCACCACAGAAAAACATGACACTTCAGATGGACTTTTTATTTAGAAAAAAATAGAATCATCCTTCAGTAACAATCAGTATTTTCTTCACACATATCTGTTTACAAATATCAGATTTGGAGATATGCTAAATAGCTGTGGAATCACTATTCTGTTTTTCTAAAAGTTTAAAAACAATTAATTGGCATTGAAACTCTAATAGTGATAAAATCAGCATTAGTTCTTTCATTTTTACTCTAGAACAGTCACAAAAATGTTTATTTTTCTGAAACAGCCTCCCAAACACATTCTGATCAGCTAAATAATATTAGGAACCTTAGGAATTTGTTCATAATTTCAAAATGTCACAGACTTCTCCATAAAGAAGGAACGAGCTGTCTCTGCTCCCAAGAAAAAAAAAGATTCAGTACTTCAGCAGTAGATAAGAATACCTTGTTGTAGTGAGATTACACAAAGATTGTTGCCTTTCAAATATCAATCCTTTCCCCTGCAGTACTTACACATTTCAGAATCCATGCCTAAATCTATTCAACTTACAAAACAAATACTACAGCACAGCAACAGACTACTGGCTGAAGCAATCCTTCACTATGAATTAATCGGAGTGTTCTTAATAGTGTCTCAAAACCAACCCACCCACTCAAGATGCTGTGTGTGAGCTCGTAGCCCCATACTAATACCACTGTGCTATGTAGAATTTTTGGCAGTCTGAAACCGTTGTTAGGATTGGTTGATTTTACACTAATATAACTATCACCCAATCACCTCAGAGCCAGACTGGACCTCTTCTGCAGCAGGATGAGACTCATCAAGTGTTGTGGATTCGCTGCTGTGTTCTGACATACCTGAAAACCAAATAGGTTTGCCATGCATTAATTGGTGTGAAAGGAGCTGGGCGCTGCACTTCACAGAAACTGAGGCAGTCTTTCAGAAAACATTTCTTTTACAAGTTCTGCTAAAGCAAAGTGAAACCTCCTCCCTTTGATGCCTTCAGCTCTCCACAAATCTAACAGAGACTAGGAAAACAAACTACAATAAGCTTCCACGGCCAAAGCAACCTTCCCCCACAGACGACTAAGCTTGCAACATAAAACCAGGAAGTCAAACAAGGTTCTTCAGCTGATGTATACTGTCACCTGCAACAATAGACTGACTACTATTGCAAAGATCGCTATTTTGTTTACATGAAACTTATCCAAATATTGCAAGTTTATATTGACGCTAAGCCACTGAAACCTACTAAGCTGCTCAGTCCATTAAGCCTACTAGAAACAGAATCCCTTTCATTTTAGTCTCAAAAAGATCTCAGCTATGGAGGCAAAGAAAGGCAATGACATTGAGCACACGCACAAGAAATCAGCTCAGCGAGTGTAGCGACCATGGAAGGTGAATTACATACCTAATATAGCTTAAATAAGAAAAGTATCTAAATTCAATTTCAAATAGCTGGTACCTACAGGTGACACCACAATTCCCCTAGCTGTTTGAGAGGAGGAGACAACCAATCATTAAAAATTAAACAATCTGTCAGTATTGAGTATAATCACACATGACTTCAGTTCATTAAGTATTGCACCATTTTATACATGTTCAGACAAATACCAGATTATGAAAAATTATAAAGAGATCACTATTTGTATTTATATTGTATTTCAAATGCCTAACCTATAAAAAATTCTAATTAAAGCAAATAATTAATAAGGTAAGCAGCTCACATAACCAAAGGCTGAGAAACTGAATCACCTAAATCATCCAGATCACATTACATTGAATAACCTTTACTTTGAAAAATCAAACGTAAAATAAGACACTTTCTCCAGAAAAACAATTCATTCAGAGATATCACTGAATGAAGTTGGATTTTTCTACTATCAATACAAAATTCCTTTTGAAGTATAACATCTTCACATATCTTTCTTAATTTTTCAAATTTCTTTTGAATATGAAAGACCATATGGCAGAGGTGCTGTTTTCCCACAGTCCTGTCCAAACTATGCTTGTGCTTAACAGCTTATTTCTGAGTAGCTAAAAAAAGTCCTTTATGGATTAGAAGAATATGTGAGATTTCCACGCTCTGCTGGTTAAACAGGAAGCTAAATTCATCTTGCAGTGCAGTCTTTGTTAAGGCAATCTGTTCCTCAGTTTTACCACATTTGTATTCCTAGAGTTATATTTGTATATCATATACAAACTTACATACCACAGTAACTCTGTTTAAAACTATTAAGTGCTATAAGCAGTAAAAATAATTTTGATAGACTCAAGAACTTTTAATAACCTAATCTAGAGGCATGAACCATCTCACAAACCCATGGAGAAGACACTGCATAAAGACAACTCATTTTTTAAAATCCAAATTAATTCACTATTTGTGTTAATTCACCAATTTTGTTATACAATATTCTTTTCCTGCAAGTAGTGCCAACACTTGCCAGTTCTGCACGACCACACTGACCACCTTTAAAACATGAGAAGAGGAAAAAATGTAGATTAAAGATGGCTTTCATAAAAAGTTCAATTGCACATTCTAATTTAACTACAGAATTTCCGGATGACTGCTTGCACAGCAAAAAAATAGAGACATAAACATTGAATGCTGTATGCAAGGATGAAAACTTTCTACATCTTCACCAAGATTCAGAAGTGAAGACATTTATGTGAAATTGCGGCAATGATGGCATCTACATACATTTATCATTTATATTTAAGGTTCCATTACAGAAATGCCTACAGACTTTTGCATCTCCATAGTTCTTGCAGGTGCCAAAGTGCTGTTCTTTATCAGAGGTTGCTGATCCTCAGTACAGCATGAATTCCACATTATCTAGTTGCTGGGGGTTTTTTCCACTAAAGCAGCCCCAACTTTGGAACATGTTAGGTGACTGACTGGTGTACTAGAACATTTACTACTATCAGTTGCAATTACAACAACTCAGAGATGTTCTACTTGAGAAAAATATGCTTGATCCATATCCTGACGTGAATTTAAGCCTGAAACCCTGTCCGTATCACTCCCGCCTTTCTGGATCTTCATTTTTCCCCCACTAGACTGGTTCTGCAAATCCACACAAATACTGCACCAGAGCAGAAGAGAGGACACAGACTAAAATCAAGCCCCCCATGGCGAAGCTACCTTAATGCATATTAGATTACAGCCTCATTTTAAGTTTTGCTCACTGTAAATAAAATCACACAATTTCTAACTCCTGGGGATTTATATATTACTTCTTCATCTGGCAAAGTAAAAAGCATAGCAAAGCAAAAACTTATAAACAACATAATAAGCTTACTCTAGGATGAAGACTTCAGAGATATTTAACCAATTATAATTAGTGGTTAGAAGAGCACACTTATGAACCTTTAATAAAAAAGGCAAATTCATATTTGCTTATTCATGCAAATATGAATTAAATGTCATCAACAATAAATTAGTTTTGAATAAGGAGTTTATTCTTCACATAGTTACATCACTTAGGTAAATGACTTCTGGTTTCAGAAATGAGAACCATGGGATTCTCAAGAACCAAATCTCCTTTTCCAAGCAGGATGCACTGGCTCCTTTGCTTGTTTTTTTTAATTAATTGCCAATAAGGTAAAAGCAAGATAGTTTCTGTCCAAATTAAGTTACCACACACTTTTATTGTTGTCTTATTACTCCAAGGCATAGATAAGCAATACAAGTTTTTGTAATACTACAGAAAATCCACATGCTGGTGGAAAAATAATGATTTTACACATATTTTCTTAATTTTGATTTCTAACTAAGAAAACTTTCACTAATTCTTGACAATATAAAGATCAACTGCTTTTTTAAAAAGACTGTAAAGAACTGCATTAAACAGTTTATGCTGCAATCACACTATGGTTTCCTCTTAATGCTCTTGAATTCCCTGGCTGCTCCACTTACAAGATCTAATTATGACTGAGAGTTAGAAGACATGATGGAGATAAAGACCAGACAACAAGGCTGCCACTAACTTCCACATCCCCATGATAGGTCAACCTGCCCCCGAACCCTTTAATGCTCTGCTCGTCTCCAGATTAGGTAAGCCACAGGCTCCCATTATGATTTCAACTTCTACCAAAACAGAAAGAAGCAGCGGATCAAGATACTGCCTCAGCTTCCAAATGCTTCCAATCTGTTCTTCTGTGTTACTTAATCCTTACATTTTAACTGTGTGTGTGTGTGTATACAGATATACACATAAACATATATATGATTCAGACAGTTTTGGAGCTGCACTGATCAAGTAACGTCCTTCTCCAGCCCTGCAAAAGAACCCCTCTGTTATCTTTTCTAGAGAGTCAACACTTACAGCCACCGAATGCAAAGTGATAACTCCTTGCTACTGGTGCCACCAAGCATAAAAAAGCACACATTAGACACTGAAACTAAATCCTGAAGTGGACGTTCAGGATGATCCCCCTCAGAGCCCTTCATACAAGATGAAAGGCTATGAGGTGGTGCCAGTTAAAAACGACATATTAGAGATTTACTATAAGAAACACTGGAAGAACTGCGTCTAGTTTGTAAACAAACACCACACACAACACCTGCTTGTCACACAACACCACAGCGTTCCCATGCTTGAAGAGTAGCAAGCAAAAGACAAATTGGTACACTTAAAACAGTAATTGCCAGGGTGTGGAGTAAGTCTCGGGGGCACGAAATTCACACAGCTTCCCTCTCTCTCTCGTGAACCAAGCTCAGGCTCTGCCCTCCCTGTCCGGGCGCCCAGTGCCCCCCGGAGCGGGGCCGTAAGAGATGGGCAGACCCCCGCCCGCCCCCCCCTCCCGGGGAGCCCCGCGGGATGACACGTCGGACGGGCCGGAGCGGGAGGCGCGGCCCGGCCCTCCCCACCCGCCCCGAACGCGGGGCCCAGCGGCTGCCCCGGCCCGGCCCGGCCCTCACCTGCGGCGGCGCCGCGGCGGCCCCGGGGGCGTCGTGCTGCGGGGGACGGCAGGGCGGGACGGAGACAGGGAGAGAGGGCAAGAAGCAGCCGGGCAGGGCGGCGCCGGCGGCTCCTCTCAGGCTTTATTTTCTTCCTTCTCCGGTGGCAGCAGGAGCCGGAAGCGCCGGGCCGGAAAGGGGAGGAGGGCGGCGGCCGCCGCTCTGGGCTGCCGTGTCTATGGTCGCGGCCATGGCAACCGGGGGCAGCGCCGCCGGGGAGGCGGCTCCAGGCTCGCCAAGTGCCGTGCCCGTGGGATCGGAGCGCCGTCTGGGAAAGCCAGCCGGCAGAGCAGGAGCGCGCGTGCCCGCGTGCGGATGTGGATGAGCGGACCTCGGTGCCATGGCAGAGGCACTGCCCGAACACATAGTGAGGAGGAAAAAAAGCATATCTATCGAGGAGAAAATCGACATCATAAGCGCCGTGGAGAGTGGCAAGAAAAAGGCGGACATTGCAGCCAAGTATGGCATAAAGAAGAACTCCCTGTCTTCGATTATGAAGAATAAGGAAAAAGTTTTGGAAGCCTTTGAAACTTTGCGGTTTGATCCCAAAAGGAAAAGGCTGAGGACCGCTTTTTATGCCGACCTGGAGGAGGCACTGATGAAGTGGTACAGGATCGCGCAGTGCCTGAAGGTGCCGGTGAACGGTCCCATGCTGCGCCTCAAGGCGAATGATTTTGCCCAGAAGCTCGGACACAGTGATTTTAGGTGCAGCAATGGCTGGCTCGATCGTTTCAAGTCGAGGTATGGTTTAGTTTTCAGAGCTCAGCCTGTAGAAGCAGCTGCTACTACTACAGTGGATGCTCCAACCCTTTGGTACCAGAATGTGCTTCCTTATTATTTGAATGATTATCAGCCAAAAAATGTGTTTCATATACAGGAGACTGGATTGTTGTATCAGATGTTACCACATAACACATTTGCATTTAAAGGGGAAACTTGCTCTGTAGGTAAACTAAGCAAAGAGAGAATAACTGTGGTGGTGGGTACAAATATGGATGGCTCCGAGAAACTTCCACTGCTTGTTATAGGAAAAAACAAAAGTCCACGCTCTTTCAAAGATGTGAAGTCGCTGCCTGTGGATTATGAAGCAAATGACAGGGCATGGATGACTCCAGAAGTGTTTGAAAAGTGGATGCATAAACTCGATGGCAGATTTCAAGCACAGCAGCGCCGAGTGGTTATTCTTGCTGATTCTCTCCCAGCTCACACAGAGGTAAAGAACCTGAAGTCTGTCAAATTAGCGTTCTTTCCTTCAGACTCCTCTTCATGTATAGCTGTGAAACAAGGGGTTATCAGAAGTCTGAAGGTTAAATACAGGCACTCTCTTATCAAGAGATTTGTTGATTGTGTAGAAGGTAATAAAGAGTTTATGCTGACCCTTCTTGATGCAATGGAGATGTTGTACCTGTGCTGGAGGGAAGTAACACCACAGACTATTGTAAAAAGTTATAATGGAGCAGAATTCAAATTAGAAACTGAGACAAGTGGTAACAACAAAGAGGTTGAAAATTATTTTGATTTGATTGCACATGCACAAGCAGCTGGAGTGGAGTTTCCAGAAGGTTTATCTTTGGAGGAATATGCAGCACTAGATGATGACTTGGTAACTTATGAAGTGCACATAAATAATGGAATGATGTGTGCCAAAGAAAGTGTGTCAGATAAAGCTGGGGCATTTTTCGGTGATGAAGATGAAGATGAGGATGAGAATGAAGGTGATCAATTTCAGGGAGCTGAACAGGTTTTGCCATCAAAAAATGAGGCTTTGGGTGCTTTAGATACCCTTCGGAAGTTTCTCAGAAGTCAAGACACAGATGATTGTCTTTATGATTCCCTAGCTGACTTGGAGAATTTTATTCAACATGTAGCAAGTAAATAAATATTTTAGCAAAGTGGGAAAGCATGTAATTAGAAAAAAATGAGATTGTGTAAGTAAACAAAGGCAGTTTAATAACAAGCATTGCTGAAATGTTCTCGTGTGTGTTTTGCTCAGGTGACTAGATGTACATAACAAAAGAAATTTGAAATTATGAAAAAGGGCTGAAACTGAAATTTTACACAAAATTAGGAACAAATGACACAAATTTGGGGTGAGCTGAATCCTGAAACTGATAACTGTAGTAAGTATAGTGGAGGAAAAAGAAGTTCGGTGCACTCAGGATAAACTCGTGACCACTTGGAATTCTTTCTTCAGGAAGAGATTAGCATTTCTACGCATTAATAATTCCACTGGTGTCTTTGGTTTTTTGATGGTGGAGTAGTAAATATTTATCACCTCGATGCTTTTGATACATAAACAAGAAATTGGATAACACAGAAAATATGTGCCTAAATTCTGAGAAGTAAGGGTTTTTTAAAATAAACATTTTTGTCCTTAGTCAAGAATTCTGCCCATCATTTATTCTTGCAGCAAGTGATGAACAGCGGAAAGTTACCACAGCTTTGGGTGCGTTGTTTCATTTTGTTTTTTTTTCTTAAAACTGCTCACATGTGGATACACACGAATGGCATAATCATTTATCCAAGAGTCAAAAGACAAACAAAGCTTTACTTGGGCTGTGAAGAGGTCAAAAAGGAACGTCATTCTCTCCCTTTCAGCCTTTTTGGTACATGGATTTGATGTAGGTCTTCCTCTGCAACTCCAGGTATTTCTACAGTAAATGTAGAAAAAAGAATCAGTTTTTGCAGCATCTGCACTAAAACCCTCACTGAACTCTTCTTTTATTTACAATACTTGAAGACTTTGCTGTAGGATTCAATGCACTAATGTGGTTTGTCATTTTAAGTCCCATTAACAAGAGTACTGTTTGCACAAGTGCATTATGAAGTTGAGTAAATCATTGTACATTTACATGTCTTCGAGTATGTGTTTCAAGCAATGTAATCATAGCAGAGCCAAAAACCAGAGTCTATATGAAATGCACTGCTTGTGGCTTTTTTCAAAACCTGTTTTAAATCTTTTCTGTATCTATGAGTTAAAATTTTTTTCAGAAGTTAGATGTAATTGTTCTAATTTAGAGGAAAAATAAAATATTTTATGGAAGCCATTTAGGAAGCCTGTGTAATAAAGATCATATTATGGTGCCTATAATTAAACAATGGAAAAAAAACTCATGCTTATTTGATTCTTCTCTTTTCAATAAATAGTTTGGCTAAAGCTTTGTTTACCCTCTTTTCTGGTGTAGTAGAGTTTATCAGTTTGTGAAATCATTTCAGAAAATGTATCAAATTGTTGGAAGACTGTGAAAATACCAGGGTGGTTTGGTGAGAAAATGCATATGGCTAAACTGTATGAATGTTTTACTAGAACTCCTACCAAAAAACCCAGACAAACTTCTGGGTTTTTTTTGTGAAATATCTGATGTGAATTCCTTCCAAAGGATATTCTGATTAAATAGGAAATTTCTGTTGAAATCCCAATAAGTAAAGTCCTACATGGAGATTTATAGATTCCGTGAAAGAGGTACCCCTCTGAATTAGCTCTTTTAACTATTTATTATTTTAAAATACAAATGCAAAGTCTTTTAAATTAGGAAGCTGTGTGACATTTTGCTTGCTTAAATACTTCAGAACAAACTTGTGAAATGTACTTTCTATTTTGGCTAAGCTTATTTGAGACCTGTAGATGATTTTCCTATAGTAATCCTTTGATTTAAAATATATTTCTTTGCAACAGCTTCTCCAGCTAAAAGCAAGTTCAGGAAAAAGTTTCTATTATCTATATAGTAAATTCGTATATTTACCACGATATGACTCCCTGTGGCCCTTATTGGCCCAAGTTCTAGATAAAGAGACCCTCTGTTTCCTTCGGAGAGAGTGAAGAGTGTGAAAATGTTGGATCTGGATGAGAAAGACTTGTGTATATAAGCAGCAAATCTTGGTTAACCAAGGGTTCAACTTACAGGAAGCGTAATCTTCTTCACAAGAAGAAGCTTAGGAAATCAGGAGATGGGAAATAACGTTGTTAGCTGGTAATGAAGGAAGTAAATTACTGAGTGCTGTCATACTCATGACATGTAAACAACAGGAAGGATTTACTATTTGACCTGGACTTTGAAGGTGAGTTGTGGAACTTGCTTTAAAAACCATACAACCCATCAAAATCCTGTATCTTTAGAGAATATATGACTTTTTCCTAGCCTCTTAGTTCATTCTGAGAAACTAAGTTAAAATGCGCTCACTGAAACTGATTTTGTAGGTCACACACTTTATATAGCTTTCAAAATTATTTAGGAGCCCGAATATTTCTCTTCACTTGGATTTTGGTCACATCGAGTCAGAGAATGTGAAAACCATTCTGAAGCTTGTTGCTGTTTTGGGTGTCTGTCGCAGGGAAATGCAGACTCACAGATCTGAAATGCTAACAGCAAAAAAGGAAGTGGTGTGCTATGTAAATGTTAATCAATTTAGCCTGTGTACACAGTTTGAGCTAGAGATTTCTTTGCATTGTCTAGGTAAACCACCAGGACACTGGCTTTTTGTGTCTGCGGTGGTTTTGTTTGGAGGGAGAGGAAGAATATTGCTCTAGACTACACCATATTTAAAAAGAAGAACCTTTTCTGCAAAAGGCTGTCATTTGCTACAATAATTCAGATATTAGTGTGGACAACTGCATGCTTTTTTCTGTAGCTTTTTTGCTTCATGCTGTGGTTAGATTGTGATTATGCTCTTCAGCGTCAAGTCAGTGAGGTTGCTTTCAGGAACCCAAAGTGAATTCTAGAAGTATGAACTGAACATAGGAAGTTTTAAAAACATAACAGACTTCTAGACAAGGCCAAAATAGAAAAAATATTTGGAAGCTACGTTTGATATAATCAAAAGCATCCTCAGATTCATTCTTGAGACAAATAATATGTAAAATTATTCTTCAAAAATACATCTTTGTTTGAAAATTTTAATAAATATTACACTATGATTTTTTTTTGTGTTTGCTGTTCTGAATACCTTTCAGATCCATAAAACTACATCTTCTTTTAAAACTGTTACTGAAAGGAAGGTTGCCCACCTCTAATGGTAAAAGGAAATTAATTAACAAGTTTTTACACTTCACCGGACACGTA